CACACACACACACACACACACACACACAGTATTCTTTGTTCACATGTACACCTATGTAAGATGTCATATGTTAATGACCTTATGCATATTCATGTAACCACAATAAAAGGAGTTGCTATGGGGAACCAGGCTGAGAGTCTGACGGAGGTCAAGTGGTGGAACGACACTTGGCTCCAGGCAGGTCTCCCTCATGCATGAGCAACACGAAGAACGTTGCCTACTTGTGTCTTGCTTGCTGTGTAATTATATTGTCTTCAACGTTCCAGCGAATAGGTTCAAGCTACAAACCATCAGTTTAGCTAAGTAAGTTTATTACTCGAGTGAAAGTGAAAAAGAACATGCTCTGTAATGTACTCAAAGTAAGAAAGTAAAAAGGGCTCTTTGAAGGAAGATTCTACTAACCATATTGTACAAAGGTAACTAAACCTGTGCAATATTAATATAATGATATAATAATGTTACTACTTAAGAATACAAATATTGTTAGAATTTAAACTATAATTTAAATAAATGGGGCTAGTTTGTAGGAGACATGCAGTAAACAAAAATAATTTACTGTTGCCTACATGGCAGAGGGTGACTTCACCTCCAGACCTAAACAGTAAAATTACAACAGTCAATGTTAAAATTGGGATTCAGCAGATGGGGGACCCCTAAAAAAGGGAAAAAAAATCACAACTCATAATAATTTCTAATGTGAGCTTCAGTAGTTGGTCTTTTTTAGTTTCTTTGTTTTTTGATTTGTTTTTTTAATGTACATGATGTGATCACAAGACCTGTGGCTCTTTGTGAATTTACACCATTAAATTCAACAAGATGTCAGCAGATGTTTCACAGCCATCCTGGCGGATTTCCATCCTCTACACTGACACTACGCTGTTTATACTTTCTCTCTACTAGACATTTGGTTTGGTATAAAGTTGGAGTTCAAGACAAAAGTCTCGCTCAGTTTTATTGCATAAAAAGTCCAGATTATGTTATTGTGACGTCATTACCCAGCAGCCCTTGCTCAGTCATGGGATTGCATCCTAACAGACTGTACGACTCCAAAGCAGAGTACTGTTGTGAACTAAGTGAATCTCTATTTTGACACTTTAGTTAAATACAAATTAGAAATTACCACTAAAATTGGCTCATTATTTGAGCTTATTTATCTTTTGGGGGGTTTGTTTGTTTCCTTAAATATCAAATGTGTTTTTGAACATTATATTGTGTGGCTGTATAAAGCCATGTTTCTGCTGCGCAGAGGTTATTAGATGTGTAGTAGTGATTGCTGACCTGCCTGAGCAGGAATGATTTCAGTCCTTGTGTTCGATCACGATCTTGTGCTGCTTATGAGAATTGTTGAGAATTTATATTCTGCCCCCTTAAAGCACAAATAAGATAATGTAATTCCTTAAAGTTGTAACATTTTTAACTAGTGGTGTCAGCGTTAACACAGCGTTAACGCTAATGCTGACAGCAGTATTTAACCAGTAAAGAGTTTCCTTTTTTGGTTAAAGAAAAAAAATGCTTGTTTTATTTTTAATGAGTTTTATTAGGACACGTTAGCATTGTGAGATGTGAGGAAACACTGAGAGGAGGAAAAAAACTGCTCATCTTGTAAAGATGTCTATAATTTAGCATTTTCATTGTGATAGTTATAAAGCTTGTGTATGAGTTCAATAAGAACGATCTGTAATCACTCATCTATCTGTTTGTTTGGGTTGCTTTTCCATTTTCTACATCACTACCATGTGGTAGCCATCAGTCATCATTACTCTTGTGGAATCATCTTCTTGCCTGCTTTCTTTGGAACACTCAGCCTCCACTTTTTTGTAGTTTACATTTCTGCTCTCCATCATTCTCACTTTCAGACTCTCATTTGTGCAACCCACCTCCTCCTCACCTCCACCTTACTGACATCTAGGTCAGAGCTCCACCCAAGCCTCAGTCTTCATTTTCACTACCACCAGAGTCTAGACTCCACGGGCTCCTGACCTAAATCCTATCACTGCTGGGATCCCTTTCTGTATCTCATTGGAATCTAATCTCCAAATACATTCGTTTCGCTATCTCAATAAATAAACACTAAGTAATGTTTAATTCTTCCAAGTTCTTAAGTTCTCTCATTATTAAACCAGTTGTCTTGATTACAGATGTTATTCTTCTTTGATGAAGGAACAACATTATTTTTACAGGATTTGCAGCATCCATTTAAACATGTAAGAGTAGCAGTAAAATATAAACAAGACTCAAATTTAAATGAATGGTAAATTCTGGTGTCATTGTACATTGTTTTCAATTATCACTAAACCTCAGGTTTAGAGTCAAACAGTGTGTTATTACATCTTTCAATACTTTGTAGCTTTAACACTTTTCTACAAATTCTCTCTACCAACCATATCCACCAATAAAGAACATTTTCTTTAAGTGGTTCTTAAATTAAATAGTTTTATATAGTACATGTTGTCTTTCATGTGCATGGCACAGCATTCAAGTTTAAAAAGGAGTCTTTATGTGGCCCTGCTAACAGTCTCCCTTTAAAATCTTTTATTTTGAAGCTCATTATTCAGATATGAGTGAGACACTGAGACAGCAAACAAAGAATGTCTTCCTAAAATGAGAAATAAATAAATCTGCAGTCAAAGGGTACGATAGTTGCTCAGAATTGCTCAAATTGTTATCTTTTCCAATCTGCAGGTTTGGTTTAGAAAAAAGCTAACTGCCTTGTACATTACCTATTGTACAGAGCTACAGTGATACATAGGCAGCACATGATATAAATCCTTAGCAGGAATACGTTTTCATCAATATCAAGCTGAACATGAGCTCTGCTTCAGAAGTGATGCTCTATAGTGACATCTTCATAGTCATTATTCAATCCCTGCTCAGCCTCGTCGAGTGGGGTCTTTACCATAGAGGCATGCATGTAGTTTCCTGTAAATGTTAGAAAGTTAAATCAGCTGCTTACACAGGAAGAAATGATCAGTCTGATCAATGACCAGCATATTGACCGATCAGAGTGTTACCTTTGGCTCTGCATCGATACAAAGACACCATGAGGACAGTAGAGATGAAGTATGGACAGAACACCACCAGGTGGAGGACCACTCGGAATACAAACTGGAGGGAGGAGGAGTCAGGGGACAGTACTGAGGAAGAGGGAGGAGCTGAGGTGGTTGGTGAAGGTGTGGTTGTAGGTTTTTCTGTGGAGAGAATTGCACCTGATGAGATTAATATGTGGATGAAATCAGAGGTGAAATCAGAGTGAAGCTCCTCACCTGTGACAGTGATCCAGCTGGATGGAGACTCTCCATGACCGCTGATGTCACACTTGTAGAGGCCTTCATCAGACCTGGAAACATGCTGGATGGTCATGTGACCTGTAGGCTGCTTCCTGATGAGGGAGCCATCTTTATAGAAAGCAGCTGGGAGGTTGGAGGGAGTGGTCTTTGTTTTACAGAGCAGAGTGACGTCATCTCCCTCCATCACAGGGAGGACAGGACTCTGCAGGATCACTGATCCACCTCAACACAGAGACAAACTACAGCATTTCATCCATTTACACACAGCTTCATCAACACTAACTCCACACACTCAGCTTACCAGTGACTGTCAGGTTAACCATGTTACTGATGGGACCCTCTCTGGACTCACACCAGTAAACTCCACTTTCCAGTGGGTCAATATAGCTGATGTTACAGGAAAAACCAGCTGGTTTCCCCCACCCATCTCCACACTGAGTCCTCTGTTGTTTGCTTGTGTTTCTCCTCAGAGTCCATCCAGCAGAGCTGTCGTCCTCCTCACAGCTCAGAGACACAAAATCGTCTTTAAACAGCTGAGAGCTGCTGGGACTCACAGTCAGATGAGCTGAGAAGAACAATAAGAAATATACAGTGCATTATTTCCTTTTTGCAGCAATCAGACACCTTTCAGATCAACTGAAGTTATGAAACTTTGTGACTCCTGCTGACCTGAGTGTTTTGAACTCAGTTAGGGAGAGTGGATTATGCAAATCAATAAGAAGGATTGGATTTCTAATATTTTACACTCCCATTTAATGCATCAATTTGTGAATGCTTTGAAAGATCAATTTGTGCTGTTCAACAGACTCCATGTTTGCAATCTATCTAGAGTAACTACTTGGTAAGTTTACACCTGCTTACTTTTACCAATGCAGCAGTATAAATTTCTACTGTGGCTTTGGCATCAATGAAAACAACTAACTCATCTATACCACAGCAACAGCGATCTTTGAGATGCTTGGCTACAAGATGAACAACAGCCACAAGGAGCTGTACCCTCCATAGAGATTGAGACCACAGCCTAAGGTCAAGGCAGCATGGAGGGAAGTTAGCCAACTATCAGAAGTACAGAAAGCTGTGATAAAGAAAGGGGTGGCTCAGAGAAGACCACAGCAACTCCCCGAACAGGGTCCAGTATCCATCACAGTGGCAGACATTGAAGAAAGAGTCTAAAGCATGAAGGCTGGACAGCCCCAAGGACCTGACTTGACTAATGCCTACTGGCTAAAGAAGCTAATTGCACTAAATGAGCACCTCACAGTGTGACACCTACAAATGTGGTCACAATTGTAATCTCTTTTGAGAATTTATTGTTATAAAATGACTTATTTACTGAATTATTGCACTGATTCTTAGTTAGGGTTATACAGATGTAATTGCATGTCTTTTCCACAAAAGGGACGCAACTGAATGCAGTAGCTTGCTCCAAGGCCCCCATCTGTTTAATGAGGAAGTTACTCTAGACTGAAGGCAACAAATGTCTCCTGTCTCTACTTTTTCTGTTGGTACTCTGAGTTGTCAAATTGCATATTTAAAGGCATAAAACCTTGTTCATGTTAGTTCAATGGAAGTTGAATTTTGAAAGACGTATATTTTCACAGATCCTCTGCTGGTTGAAATGAGAGTTGCTATTATCTAACAAAATGATGGGCCACACTGAATATGTGTTATTTATTCAAAAATGTAGCTCCTGGACAAGGTTCTATGATTGATAATATAACTTCACCCTGGTCCATTTCTCACCCATAATGTTTATGGACTGTATAGTAAATACTGATTTGGGGAGATGGGAGAATAAGACTTGTTTATGGTTTTCTGATGTGAAGTATTTTTGCACATGTTAGGATATAAAGAGAGTTTACTAAGATAACAATAAGTAGATTAATCACAGTGTTAATGCTATGAAACTGGACAGCAGAATTTAGTTATAGTGCATAAAAATACAGATAAGGTGTATTTATTATTTTGTGTATTTATACCTCAAAAATGTAAACTTGATTTAATGTCATGGTTTGTGTTACAAGAGAACGTATGGAGAAAAGATGGAGGAACATGTAAATGAACAAAAGATTGGTCTAAAATTCTGCTTAATGAACAGCTAAGGAAGAGCCTGTAAAAGGAATACCCCTCATGTCTCCTGTACCTACTTTTCCTGTATAACACAGCTAAAGGCCTGTAACATAGTTTTGGAGATCAGCAAGCTGCACAGGCAGCTGATCCTGATCCTTCATTTAACAAACCTGAGGCAGACATCACTGTACAGGTATGTTGGAGCAGCAGACAGCTAACTATGGAGGACTACCCTTGCAACTACACAGACACCTTAGCCTAGAGCTGGGAGTGAAACCAGTTAGCAACTTTACAGCAGACATGGGACACTGTAAGCCTGATCATACAGTTTCCCTAAGAGACATTTATGCTAAGCAGAGACGTTAAAGTACATGGGGGTCAGTTTGAGAACATTAAAAATGACATAAGTTACCATGTACTACTGTACGCAACCAAATTGATGAGTGGCTTCATGTGAACCACACAGAGGGAGAGATCATCCAAGGTGTGCTCAGTATTATTAAACTTGAGCAGTTCAGGGATATGTTGATTGGCAAAGATGACTGATGAAAGAGTGAGTGATTCATTTCTGTCATGGTCTCTGTGTCGCTCTGGCTGGCTCACTCTTGGCCACATGTTTGTTGTTTCCTCTCTCTCGCTTTCTCTCCACTGTCTCCTGACTGCTTGGGCTGAGCTCATTATTGGGCTCCCGCCACTTCCTAGTATTGCACACATAACATATCACATTTTTACAAGTGTGTTTCAGTGAATATATTGCACATTAGTCAGTGATTTTATCCCGTTATGCATTCGGTGTTCAATATTTTTTGTTTTGCCATGAGTCTGACAGTGAAGGGGAAGAAGCTGTTGAAAAACCTTGTTCTGTGTTTGATGATGGCTCTGATGTGTGTCAGACTGTATGTACAGTTTTTGTGTCTGAGCAGAGGGTGAACTGGATGGTGTGAGTCCCTGATAATTCTCGCTGCTCTTTTTCAACAGCATTGTGTGTACAGAGAGTCAATTGTTATGCAAATTGAGTTTGTGTAACCCCAGCAAATTCCTCGTCTTACTCTCCTGTGAATTCTCTAGCGTTTTTTCTAACTGATATTCTCTATACATAGATTCCCTGGACCCTCCCTGTTTTCTGGATTCCTGAGTTTAGCTAAGTGGCGTGAAGTGAGAAGGAGCATGAGTGCCAGAAGGAGTGTGGCCTGTGAATAGAAGAGGAGCGTAGCGTGTGTGGACCCACACATTTGTTAGGTAAGGCACAGAAGCAGCACCTGCCTGTCTTTCAAGCTTGTGTTTGATAAGGACAGCTTATTTTAAAGTGAGTTGGTTTAAAGGGGAGGAGCTAAAAAACAACTAGTTTAGGACAGAGGATGAATTTAGAGAATGGACCAAGGCCCTGTATAAAATAAAGAATTTTGAAAATGAAAACTTTAGAGTGTGACAGAAGAAGGTTACTGACCTTGCTTTGTTGTGCAGCACAGTAGGGAGATGACGGCTACAAAGGAAGACAGCTGGGTTAGCTTGAGGTTTTGCAGCAGTGTGTGCAACATTCAGAGGAAGTAAAACCATGCAAACCGCAATCGTGTATGTACAAAGCATTGTATGCAAGCATGTATGCAATGGAAAAAGTACAGACAAAGTCGTTTTTTTAAACGTACACACAGTTTTCTTTCACAGACTTTCTAAACTGAGAGAGCCACTTGACAAAAAAAGAACAGTTTATTTATTCAATTTATTGATTCAAGGGTGCAATATATTATCATCAGTAGTGTTCCCTGGTTTTGTAAAAACACATTAACTCTGTTAATCTCCTTGATCTTTGAGCTACTCATTTTTTGGGGATCATCATAGCAGGTCAGCTTCCTCAATCTCTCCCTATCCCTAGTATAGTGGGGATATCAGGAATAGACACGGTTGGCACTGATTCACCCTGGTGTGTCGGCCAGAACACCACTTAAGGCCAAATTATCCCAGAGTACAGAAGAAGGAGCTTGAGGTTTGGTTTGAGGATCTTTATTCTCTCACAGCTCAATTCCTGTGGCTGTAATCACAGGTGTGTTTGTGTGGTTTTCTACAAAAGAAGTACACAATACCAATAAATGATAATTACAGTGTAGAGATAAATGACATACTCAGATATATGCATAATACAAAATAGCTAACATAACTATATACAAGGATCAGACCAATGTAGTACACTTCTACTGCTCACACTATGCAACTAAACAGCATTCTGTGTGAGGTTAATTACCCTCAGTACAAAGGAATTACTTCCGGTGGTTGCACAAAACAAAGGCTCCCCCATTATATTCCGCCATAAAACTATGAACTGCATTAACTTCCAAAATTGTAAATATATCACAGTGTCAACACAAACAAAGGAAAATGCAACACAGGTTGATATTCACTTATCATTCAGGCACACATCAGGAATCGGTGCGCTCCACCAGAGTAACAGCGCTCATCCAATACTAAAACTGCCACCCTTACTAACTGGATGACGTCACCAGACGGTGGGCTGGCTCGAACCAACAGAAGGTTAAATGCAAAATGAACAGTATATAAACTTACATGAACTTACACACACCTGTATAAGAACCCAGAATTATCCTAGGAATTTTGGGCCTTTTATACACTATGGCTGTGTCCCAAAACGTCGGCTGCATCCTCCGGAGGCCGCATTTGAAGGCCGATTACGTCACAGCCGGGCGACGAAGGCTGTCCCAATTCGTCGAATCCTTCAAATGCGGCCGACAAATGCGTCCTCCTTTTCCCCGAATTTGAAGGATGAGTCAGGTGTGTCCTTCGTGACCCACCATATCCCAGAATTCATAGCGCGGCCCAGCCAAACTCCGGTTTCCAACAATGGCGGCCGCTACTAAGTTTTAAAATTACTCTTATTAATCTTTCTGGGTCACAAAATAAACTTTTAACATATTTTAAGGTGAGAAAGTAGCTGTGTAAATTACAAATATCTGCTCGGTTTATCAAGACATTGCATATTTGCAAAAGTGTGCCGATGTTTTCGGAGACGTCTGGGGGGGGGGGTTCAATGGTCACTCCAGCCGGCGAGAGCAGCGGACTCCCGGCTTCATCGTTTCGACCCCCGGTCTTTCGCTACTCAGGTTAAACATGATATATAAGTCACTTGGATAACTTAAAAATGTAATTGTTTGCCTTTTTTCGGTGTTTTATTTGTTCCGGAGTAAATCGGTTTGGCTGAGATCAAAGTTATTAGATTATTAGATTAAAAAAAACTTTATTTCCTCCGGGGTTTTCACACAGCTGAATAAACGTTAAACAGAAAACTGATTAAACAGAAGTGTGAGACGGTCGACAATTTACGCCAGTGTCCTGTTATATTTTAGATAGCAAGGAGCAGACGGCCGAGTTTATTAAATTCCACCGACACAGCGGTGATGCAAATCTGAAGGCTAGACCAGACCATCTCAGCCTTGCCTCTTTCACTCTTTTCACTATGCAGAGCATACGGCCACCTCTGCAGGCTCTCTTCCAACTGCTCCCTGATCTCACTACATGTCAAAATGTTGCCTGCTAACATCAAAGTCTAGAGATTCCTGCCTGGCCTCAGCCTGGTTCCAGCAGATCGCCACTGCTCCCCGAGTCTGGTTCTGCCAGAGGGTTCTTTCTGTTAAAAGAAAGTTTTTCCTTCCCACTGTCAACTTGGTTATAGGGGTTATCTGATTGTTCAGGTTTTCTCTTTTCTCTGGAGGGTCTTTATGTTGCTATATAAAGCACTTTTAGGTAACTGTTGTAATTTGGCAATATATAAATACAATTTAATTGGTTTTGGTATCTTATTTCTTTTACTGCTGCAACATGGTCAGTTAGATTTTTTCTGTTAACCAGTGCTGAGTCACTAAATATATTCATAAATCCGATCAAAGCATGGTTCAGTGGCATATTTATTAGGATTTGGGTCCAGTATAAACGGAAAATGTATTTTCTAATCTTAACCCAAAAATAAAATCAAAAAGTGAACTTACAGAGCAGTCGGAGTAGAGAAGCTCTGTTCATCATGCTGTTTATGTTTTTGATCAGTTCACATCAGATAACACAACCCTCCTCCGTCCTGACCGAGCATCGCTGTCAGCACTGTGGTTTCCTTTTCAGAGAAAATTTAACACCTTTTTTTTTTCTTTTTTCTTTTCTGTTTGTTTCTATAGAGATGATATATTATTAAAACAAGAGACTGGAATATGTCACAGAGATGAACATATTTAGAAGTTGAAATCAAAATCAAAGGAGAATATTTGTATAACCAGTATATGTTTATCTTTAATGCTAAAATGACACATATCTGCACTAAAATTCAGATTAGATAGTTCCTGTTGCACATTGGTAGAAACACATTTTGTCTTGCGGTAGCTATCAGTGTTTCAGCTGTACACAAGGCCTTTTGTTTCTGCATTTCACACAGACCTCTGCTCTACCTTAACCACAAACTTTTTTTTAACTACATGCTATAATGCTTAACTATTGAAAGTCCACCCATCTATCACCCATCTGCTTTCTGCAGCTTATTCAGGGGACTTTCTCCAGAACTTCTGTAGGTTCATCAATGCTTTCTTAACCCAGCCAAGAGACAAGTAATGGTGCATGAAGAACCAGCTGGTTTCCCTCATGGCTGTGTTTCTAGACATGGTTTTACAGTTTTTTTTCTTCATTTGTGAGTTCTCATCAGTCTGGACTAATATGCCCTTCATATATATGCCAGAACGTAATATTTGCAACATTTAAAAAGCAAATTCTGCATATTCTGTAATGAAGCAGATCATCTAAACTGTCATGCTAGAACCTCAAGGTTGACTCATAACATTTTTTAGTAATTTTTTGTATAATTTCTAAAATGATTTGTTAATTAAAATGCTGTTTGATTAAGTTTAGCCATTAACCCTTTAAGACCTAGCATAGAACCAAGTCCGCCAGAGCTTATATTATATTTTTACATGCTGTAGTGCCATTTTTGGGAGCATTTTCAAGTTGATACAACCATTATAGCCCAAATTTTAATAATATGTATGCATTAAGTGCATAGTAATTACATAAATTGCAAAAAATGCAATAAACTACAAAAAAATTAAAAATCGTTTTTGTTTTTTAAAGATATATTTCTAGTTAGAGAAATTTAAGAGGCTTATCCCTCAAAACTGTAAATACAAAAAAATTGCACAAACTAGTTTCCCACCACAGGAAATTTATTTTAAATGGTAAAAAAATGGTAAAATGGCCTGTATTTGTTAAACCCCTTACTAGTCCTTAAGGACCCCAAAGCGCTTTACACGTTCAGTCATCCACCCATTCACACACACATTCACACACTGGTGATGGCAGCTACACTGTAGCCACAGCTGCCCTGAGCCGCACTGACAGAGGCGAGGCTGCCGGACACTGGCGCCACCGGGCCCTCTGACCACCACCAGTAGGCAACGGGTGAAGTGCCTTGCCCAAGGATACAACAACCGAGACTGTTGGGGCTCGAACCAGCAACCTTCCGATTTCAAGACGAACTGCCAACTCTTGAGCCACAATCGCCCATTTTAAGTGTCTTCATAGTTTTATTTTTGAAATACACCAATTTTTATATACTGCTGGAAAAACAAAAATAAATATTATAATGCAAATTTGCAAAAAAAACAGCATATGCATCAAAATAAACTATTTCCAGCAGTGCAATATGAGTCCTAAGCATCCCGGAAACGACACAGAAAGTCATAAAGCCAAACATAACTTTTAAAAACACAAGTATAGGCTCATAAGGCCCTGATGGTAAAAAAAACTACATTTCCGCAAAATAGCATCACTTCTGGTTTCGGGCAGGTCATGGCGGATATGCAATAGTTCGCGCTGATGGATGTAGGAAGTGTTATGAACAGCTGTGTTTCTGGAATATTATGTTTTTGTTGCTGCGAGTGCTTTTTATGCAGTTTTTGCAAAGCTATATGTGGAAGGAAACCGTGACCGAGGACAAGCTGATGGCATAAGATGTAAGTACAACTCCTCTGGTTTCATATGCAAAAAAAAATATTGCGCTAGCTTACGTGGTTGCAGTGCTACCGGGATTTAAAAATAGTTACGCAAAATGGAGCGTGCCCTCTCCGATCGGCTTTAAAGGGTTAACTATAACCAGTAAGTTACTTTAAATTAGTAACTTAGTTACATTACTAGTTACTTTAAAAGTAACTCGGTTACTTCAAGTTACTCGTTACTTTCAAAGTAACTAGTTACTAGGGAAAGTAACTTTGGTTTTACTCAGAATTCTCTTGTTAATGTGTTGCTTCTGTAGCTGGATATCCAGCCAGATTGCCAGTCTTCTAGCTTGCTTACTTGCCACAAGTGCACTGTGCCACCTACCAATGGGAAGGAAAAAATAATCTGCATATTTCCACGAGAGAAATCCCACGCCTGGACCGTCGTTGACCTCCGCCATGATTCTAACCTATGTCACAGTGTCATGTGCGCTTTTTACATCCAACACAAAAACTGCAGTCGTGGTGCTTTCGATTGTACTCAGAACTGAGAAATTCTGTCTTCTGAATAGGAAGATGTAGGCAACACCAGACTGCAGATGAGCTGCATACAGGGCTGGACTGGGACAAAAAAACTCCGCCCGGTCATTTTGACTAGAGACCGGCCCACCATTATAGGAAAAATTATTAAGCCTTTGAATGCAAACAAATGCTGTTGTGACAGTGATGTACACTGTTTGGATGGTATATATGTATCAATCTATCAATCGTTTACTGTAAGATTCAGATAATTATTTTTTTAAAGCGAGACATTTTAAATGAGAATAAGAAAGCAAAGTATTTCTTTGCGCCCCCCTTTCCCTGTTAATGCCCTACCTGGCCCCCTGGCAACACTTTGCTAGACCCGCCCCTGCACAGTTACCAGCTGTCAGCTACGTAAAAAAAACTAACGATCGTGGTGTTATTTGTCTCTCAGAAACAGTTCATAACTTCCCTTTAACTCATTCATGTCACCTAAAAGGTAAACCTGTTTCTCCATCACCTGTTCAGCTCTGATGATTCAGTAAGGACATCTCCTGGTTTCATCTTCATGTTTCCCTCTCACCAGATAACCAAACCATATCATGACCAGCAGGTTTACAGCTGTGGCTCCAGCAAACATCAGCTGATACTAGAAATTAATATTAAATAAATTCTAACAACAGCTGATCAAACTTAAACGTGCTGCTGTTGTTTAACTGACCTCCGCTGGTTTCTTCTTTCTGGCGCAAAGTGGGCGATAAACAAACAAGAGAGAAAAGCCGATCAGCTGATCATTGATCAGTTTCATGATTGAAGTAGAACCAGGAGAGGGAGGGGGGAGAATGAGAGAAGAAGAGGCAGCTGTGCAGCAAAGACACAGAATAAATCCAGCTTTGTGTCTTTTTCATTGTAGCTAAAGTCCGGGACAAACTGTGCTCCTTTTCACCTCAATACGAAACGCGTAATATTTTCTCTGAATATGAGACCATTCCGTTTTTTAGGGGACGTTTGGCAACTCTAATAACTAACCTTATGAATAAAATAAAGTTCAACATCAGTAACATCATAGCACCCACCCAGCTGTATAGACACTCCATCATGCTAGCTAGTACGCAGTAAGAAAAAGTCAGCATAATGAAAATAAACTCCACCTAAACTTGGTTTATATCTGACCCAGGTAGACTGCAGATCATAACTTCTTACCTGAAGTTCAGTTCACCTGACACTCGGACCGAGCCAAGGTTTCGGAGGAGCTCATTGTGAAACCTAGCCCCGCCCTATTATGTGATTTCCTGAGGTCAGATGACCCAGGATGTGAGTGGGCGTTAAGGTGTCTGGGAACGGATCAGAAAACTGGATTATAGATGGCAGACAGTTAGTGTCATAAACCACCACCAACTTTAAAGATTGTCATTCACAGTGGACATTATAATTGCTTCTTTCACTCCTCTTTCAAACCATCTATCTTCTCTGTCCAAAATGTGAACATTGGCATCCTCGAAAGAGTGACCTTTGTCCTTTAGATTTGGATGAACCGCCAAGTTTTGTCCCATTGAGGTGGCCCTTCTATGTTGTGCCATGCATTTACGAAGTGGCTGTTTGGTTTGGTGGGGCTAGGCTTCACAATGAGCTCACCCGAAATTTTGGCTGATTGTGACCTACACCTATTCTCACACCTTAGCTCATGTGATTAGGTAGAGGATCATTAGGGGGTCCATTGTCCCTCTCGGAGGGTTACTTCCACAGAGCTTAAATCTGGGACTCGGATGAGAGGTGAAACGTTTTCAAGCAACTTAAAGAAGTCCAAATCCTTTTCTTTCCAAGCTCCTTAGACTACGATGACCTGGATGACTGAGAACCTTCACAGACATACTGTTTAACCCTTTAAGACAATTAAGACAAGAAAATTAGTGAATCCAATTTGAGTTTTAATTGAAGATAGTCTACCCTACCCTAAAAAGAGATATGTTAGATACCAAATGCACTCTGATGGCAGTGTGCTGGTATACTTTGAGTGTGTTTAATATTCTTTTGTTTTATATAGTTTGTCATCCTCTTGTGGTCCCAGTTGGAACTTGGAAAGCTTGTTATACCCAACTAGCTCATGTCTGATAGAGGATTCTAGCCTCTCAATATATCTCCATGTCTTTGTCCGATTTTTCATTTAATTATGTTTTCGGCTGGTAAAAGTCAAAGGTCAGTTTGAGGTAGGTCAGTTTGACACTTGAACTTTTAACCTATGCTGTTGTAATAGATGCATTATATGGTTTAGGATCGTGCAATTGAAAAATATAAGGCCTTCCCAGAAAGGGACATTTTCTACATGTCTACAGGCTATTCTGTAGACATGGTGCTTTTTCAGATATTCAGCCTGTGACTCCAAAGGTATATATGGCTTCTCCTTTGTATGAGAGAGCTTTAACCTACATCTGTGGAAGTTTTTTCTGAAAGTGTTCCTGAGCCCATGCAGTGATTTCTTTAACAGAATCATCCCAGTTTTCAATACAGCATTGCCTGAGGGCCTAAAGATCATAAGCCTCCAACT